GAGCTCCGTACGTTCCACATAATAGATCGATTATGACCCCACCGAGTACCATAGTGACCCCATAAAGCTCCACAGTGACCCCAACAAAGTTCCATTGTTACCCCTTAACAGCTTCTTTATGACCATACAGAGCTCCATAGTGACCCCACAGAGCACCATGCTTACCCCATGATAGGTCCATTATGACCCCACGGAGCTCCATAGGGACCCCGTAGCGGTCCATTGTGACCCCATTAAAGTTCCATTCTGTCCCTGGAAGAGCTCCATAGTGACACCATAAAAGTCCCATTGTTACCCCATTACAGTTGCCTTACGGCCAGAAGAGTTCCAGAGTGACGCCATAGAGCTGCTGTATAGTGACACAATAGAGCTCCATAGTGACCCCATACCAGTTCCCTTGTGACCCCATGGAGCTCCGTACGTTCCACATAATAGATTGATTATGACCCCACCGAGTACCATAGTGACCCCATAAAGCTCCACAGTGACCCCAACAAAGTTCCATTGTTACCCCTTAACAGCTTCTTTATGACCTCACAGAGCTCCGCAGTGACCCCACAGAGCTCCGTAGTCACCCCATTAATGTTCTATTCTTACCCCATAACAGCTCCATTATGACTATAAGAGAACCACAGTGGCCCCCTAAGAGCTCCATAGTGAAACCATACAGCTGCACAGTGAGCCCAAAACAGTTCCATACTGGCCCCACTCAGCTTCTTAGTCAACTAAGAATAATTTCTTGGAGACTCCATGGAGGTCCAAAGGGCCCCTATTACAAGAAGATTAGGACCACATAGCAGCTCCATGGTGACCCCGTCCAGCTCTATAGTGACCTCACAACATTTCCATCCTGACCCCCTAGAGCTCCATAGTGACCCCACAACAGTTGCGCTAGGAGCCCATAGAGCTTCATGTGACTCCTTAGCAGAGCCCTGGTGAGCACTCAGAGCTTCTTCGGGACCTCAAAAGAGTTCCACAGACCCCCTGTGGAGCTCTACAGTGTCCCCATAGAGCTGCAGAGTGACCCCATAACAGTTCCACTATGGCCCCTTAGAGCTCCATAGTGTTGTCCTAGAGCACCACAGAGACCATATAGAGCTCCATGGCGACCCCAGAACAGTTCCATTATGACTCCATGGAGCCCCAAAGCAATCCCTGAGCTGTTCCATTGTGACCCCATCAGAGTGCCCTTGGGACCCCATACAGCTTCTTAGGGACCTGAGAACAGTTCCATAGACACCCCATGGAGTTCCATAGAGACCCCATAGAGCTGCCTAGTGACCCCAGTAAAGTTCCGTTCGATCACCATAGAGCTCTGTAGGTTCCAAATAACAGTTCTATTACGACCTCAAAGAGCTCCACTGTGACCCCAAAACAGTTCCGTTATGACCCCATGGAACTCCATAGTGATCCCATAAAAGTTCCATTGTTACCCCATTACAGTTCCCTTACGGCCAGAAGAGTTCCAGAGTGATGCCATAGAGCTGCTTTATAGTGACACAAGACAGCTCCATAGAGACCCCAGAACAGTTCCCTTGTGACCACATGGAGCTCCGTACGTTCCACATAATAGATCGATTATGACCCCACAGAGTACCATAGTGACCCCATAAAGCTCCACAGTGACCCCAACAAAGTTCCATTGTTACCCCTTAACAGCATCTTTATGACCATACAGAGCTCCATAGTGACCCCACAGAGCACCATGCTTACCCCATGATAGGTCCATTATGACCCCACGGAGCTCCATAGGGACCCCGTAGCGGTCCATTGTGACCCCATTAAAGTTCCATTCTGTCCCTGGAAGAGCTCCGTAGTGACACCATAAAAGTCCCATTGTTACCCCATTACAGTTGCCTTACGGCCAGAAGAGTTCCAGAGTGACGCCATAGAGCTGCTGTATAGTGACACAATAGAGCTCCATAGTGACCCCATACCAGTTCCCTTGTGACCCCATGGAGCTCCGTACGTTCCACATAATCGATCGATTATGACCCCACCGAGTACCATAGTGACCCCATAAAGCTCCACAGTGACCCCAACAAAGTTCCATTGTTACCCCTTAACAGCTTCTTTATGACCTCACAGAGCTCCGCAGTGACCCCACAGAGCTCCGTAGTCACCACATTAATGTTCTATTCTTACCCCATAACAGCTCCATTATGACTATAAGAGAACCACAGTGGCCCCCTAAGAGCTCCATAGTGAAACCATACAGCTGCACAGTGAGCCCAAAACAGTTCCGTACTGGCCCCACTCAGCTTCTTAGTCAACTAAGAATAATTTCTTGGAGACTCCATGGAGGTCCAAAGGGCCCCTATAACAGGAATATTAGGACCACATAGCAGCTCCATGGTGACCCCGTCCAGCTCTATAGTGACCTCACAACGTTTCCATCCTGACCCCCTAGAGCTCCATAGTGACCCCACAACAGTTGCGCTAGGAGCCCATAGAGCTTCATGTGACTCCTTAGCAGAGCCCTGGTGAGCACTCAGAGCTTCTTCGGGACCTCAAAAGAGTTCCACAGACCCCCTGTGGAGCTCTACAGTGTCCCCATAGAGCTGCAGAGTGACCCCATAACAGTTCCACTATGGCCCCTTAGAGCTCCATAGTGTTGTCCTAGAGCTCCACAGAGACCATATAGAGCTCCATGGCGACCCCAGAACAGTTCCATTAGGACTCCATGGAGCCCCAAAGCAATCCCCGAGCTGTTCCATTGTGACCCCATCAGAGTGCCCTTGGGACCCCATACAGCTTCTTAGGGACCTGAGAACAGTTCCATAGACACCCCATGGAGTTCCATAGAGACCCCATAGAGCTGCCTAGTGACCCCAGTAAAGTTCCGTTCGGTCACCATAGAGCTCTGTAGGTTCCAAATAACAGTTCTATTACGACCTCAAAGAGCTCCACTGTGACCCCAAAACAGTTCCGTTATGACCCCATGGAACTCCATAGTGATCCCATAAAAGTTCCATTGTTACGCCATTACAGTTCCCTTACGGCCAGAAGAGTTCCAGAGTGATGCCATAGAGCTGCTGTATAGTGACACAAGACAGCTCCATAGAGACCCCAGAACAGTTCCCTTGTGAACACATGGAGCTCCGTACGTTCCACATAATACATCGATTATGACCCCACAGAGTACCATAGTGACCCCATAAAGCTCCACAGTGACCCCAAAGTTCCATTGTTACCCCTTAACAGCTTCTTTATGACCATACAGAGCTCCATAGTGACCCCACAGAGCACCATGCTTACCCCATGATAGGTCCATTATGACCCCACGGAGCTCCATAGGGACCCCGTAGCGGTCCATTGTGACCCCATTAAAGTTCCATTCTGTCCCTGGAAGAGCTCCATAGTGACACCATAAAAGTCCCATTGTTACCCCATTACAGTTGCCTTACGGCCAGAAGAGTTCCAGAGTGACGCCATAGAGCTGCTGTATAGTGACACAATAGAGCTCCATAGTGACCCCATACCAGTTCCCTTGTGACCCCATGGAGCTCCGTACGTTCCACATAATAGATTGATTATGACCCCACCGAGTACCATAGTGACCCCATAAAGCTCCACAGTGACCCCAACAAAGTTCCAATGTTACCCCTTAACAGCTTCTTTATGACCCCACAGAGCTCCGTAGTCACCCCATTAATGTTCTATTCTTACCCCATAACAGCTCCATTATGACCATAAGATCTCCATAGTGACGCCACAGTGCTCCGTGTGGACTCCAAAACAATTCCATTAGGACTCCATGGAGCCCCAAAGCAATCCCTGAGCTGTTCCATTGTGACCCCATCACAGTTCCCATGGGACCCCATACAGCTTCTTAGGGACCTGAGAATAATTTCCATAGACACCCCATGGAGTTCCATAGAGACCCCATAGAGCTGCCTAGAGACCCCATATTATTTCCCTTGTGACCCCATAGAGCTCCGTAGATTCCACATAACAGATCTGTTACGACCTCAAAGAGCTCCATAGTGACCCCATTAAAGTTCCATTATGACCCCATGGAGCTCCACAGTGACCCCACAGAGCACCATGCTTACCGCATGATATGTACCATTATGACCACACGGAGCTCCATCGGGACCCCCTAGAGGTCCATTGTGACCTCATTAAAGTTCCATTCTGTCACCGGAAGAGTTGCATAGTGACACCAGAAATGTTCTATTGTAACCCTATAACGGTTCAATTATGACTTTGCGGGCTTCATAGTGAGCCCATAACAGTTCCATTATGACCCCATCAGAGCTCCACACTAAGCCCCGAGCTGTTCCATCGTGACCCCATAACAGTTCCCTTTTGACCCCATGGAGCTCCATACGTTCCACTTAATAGATCGATTATGACCCCACAGAGTACCATAGTGACCCCATAAAGCTCCACAGTGACCCCATCAAAGTTCCATTGTCATCCCTTAACAGCTTCTTTATGACCTCACAGAGCTCCGCAGTGACCCCACAGAGCTCCATGGTGACCCCATTACTGTTCTATTCTTACCCCATAACAGCTCCATTATGACCATAAGAGCTCCATAGTGACTCCAAAACAGTTCCATTATCACCCCATGGAGCCCCAAAGCAATCCCTGAGCTGTCCCCGGAAGAGCTCCATAGTTACACTAGGAAAGTATCATTGTAAACCCATAACAGTTCCATTATGACCCCATAGATCTTCCTAGTGACCACATAACTGTTCCATTCTAACCCCATAGAGCTCCATAGTGACCACATAAGATCTCCATAAGATCTCCATTCTTACACCATAAGAGCTCCATAGTTAAATGACTTCCATTTTGACCCCATGGAACTCCATAGTGATCCCATTTAAGTTCCATTGTTACCCTATTACAGTTCCCTTATCACAGAATCACAGAATTGTATGGGTTGGAAGGAACCTCCAGAGATCATCAAGTCCAACCCCCCTGCCAAAGCAGATTCCCCTACAGTAGGTCGCACAGGTAGGCATCCAGGCAGCTCTTGAACATCTCCAGAGAAGGAGACTCCACCAGCTCCCTGGGCAGCCTGTTCCAGTGCTCCGTCACCTCACTGTAAAGAAGTTCTTGCGCACATTTGTGCAGAACTTCCTGTGCTGCAGTTTCCAGCCGTTTCCCCTTGTCCTGTCTCCACTCACCACTGAAAAGAGTCCGGCCTCGCCATTCTGCCCCCCACACCTTAGACACTTATAGACCTGGATCAGGTCCCCTCTCAGTCTTCTTTTCTCAAGGCTGAACAGACCCAGTTCACTCAGCCTTTCCTCATAGGAGAGATGCTCCAGGCCCTTCACCATCTTCGTGGCCCTCCGCTGGACTCTTTCCAAGAGATCCCTGTCTTTTTTGTACTGGGGAGCCCAGAACTGGACACAGTGCTCCAGATGAGGCCTCACCAGGGCAGAGTAGAGGGGGAGGATCACCTCCCTCGACCTGCTGGACACGCTCTTTTTAATGCACCCCAGGATGCCATTGGCCTTTTTGGCCACAAGGGCACACTGCTGGCTCATGGCCAACCTGTCGTCCACCAGGACACCCAGGTCCCTTTCCGCAGAGCTCCCCTCCAGCAGCTCATCCCCCAACCTGTACCGGTGCATGCAATTATTCCTCCCCAGATGCAAGGCTCTACACTGGCTTTTGTTAAACCTCATCTGGTTTCTTTCTGCCCAGCTCTCCAGCCTGTCCAGGTCTTGCTGAATGGCAGCGCAGCCGTCAGGCGTGTCAGCCAATCCTCCCAACTTCGTATCATCAGCAAACTTGCTGAGAGTGGCGACTGTTCCCTCATCAAGGTCATTAATGAAGATGTTGAACAAGACTGGACCCAGCACAGACCCCTGAGGAACACCGCTGCTTACAGGTCTCCAACCGGACTCTGCACCACCAACAACGACCCTCTGCGCTCTGCCAGTCAGCCAGTTTTCAACCCACCTCACTGTCCACTCATCTATCCCACACTTGCTCAGCTTTGTTATAAGGATGTCGTGGGGGACAGTATCAAATGCCTTGCTGAAATCAAGGTAGACTATATCTCTGCTCTCCCCCCATCCACCCAGCCAGAGACAACATCATAGAAGGCTACCAGGTTGGTCAAGCACAACCTCCCCCTTGTGAACCCGTGCTGACTACTCCTGCTAGCCTCCTTTTCTTCCAGTTGTCTGGAGATGACATCCAGCACCAGCTGTTCCATCTCCTTTCCAGGGACAGAGGTGAGGCTGACTGGCCTATAATTGCCTGGATCTTCCTTCGTGCCCTTTTTGAAGACCGGAGTGACATTGGCTATCCTCCAGTCTTCAGGCACCTCCCCCGTCCTCCAAGACCTCTCAAAGATGACAGAAAGCAGTTCAGCAATCAGCTCTGCCAGCTCCCTCAGCACCTGTGGATGCATCCCATTGGATCCCATGGATTTGTGAACATTGGTGTTGCCTAGGCGCTCTCGGACCACCTCTTCCCTGACTGAAGGGAGGTCATCCATTCCCCAGACCCTCTCACTAACCTCCAGGGTCTCGGATTCCCGAGGGGGAGCTTTTTCACTGAAGACAGAAGCAAAGAAGGCATTCAGTATCTCCGCCTTCTCAGCATCCCCCGTTACCAGAACACTCCTGTCACTTAGCAGGAGAGCCACATTCCCCCCAAGCTTCCTTTTACTGTTAACGTACTTAAAAAAGCCTTCTTTATTATCCTTTATCCCCTTTGCCAGATTTAATTCCAGGTGGGCTTTAGCCTTCCTCGTCGCATCCCTGCAGGCCCTGACAACATTCCTGTATCCCTCCCAAGTGGTCAGACCCTTTTTCCACATTTCATGGGCCTTCTTCTTTCCTTTGAGTTTGTGCACGAGCTCCTTGCTCATCCACACAGGTCTCCTGCCACCCTTTCCCAATTTCTTCCTCACAGGGACGCACCGATCCTGATCAGCTTGGAAGAAGAGCTGCTTAAATGCCGACCAGCTCTCACAGGCCCCCTTGCCTTCGAACACCCCAGCCCAAGGGATAGCTCCAAGTAGGTCCCAGAAGAGATCACAGTTGGCTCTCCTAAAGTCCAGGATAGCAATCCTACTTTTTGCTTTACTTGTTCCACTCAGGATCTTGAACTCCACCATCTCGTGGTCACTACAACCCAAGCTGCCCGCAACCTTTACTTCCCTGACAAGCCCTTCTCTAATAGTGTGAATAAGGTCCAGCAGTACCCCTCTCCTCGTCGATTCCTCAACCACCTGCATCAGGAAGTTGTCTTCAACACATTGCAGGAACCGTCTGGACCGCGCATGCCTGGCCACATTGCTTTTCCAGCAAATATCTGGATAATTGAAGTCCCCCATAAGCACCAGCACCTGGGATCGTGATGCTGCTTCCAACTGTTTGTGGAAGGCCTCATCAACCTCCTCCTCCTGATCAGGGGGCCTGTAGCACACTGCCACAACAGTGTCAGCCATACCAGCCCGCCCCATGATTCTCACCCACAAGCTCTCCACTGCCACAGCGCTCTCCCCCAGGTGGAGTTCAGTACATTCCTTGTGAACTACATCATGGCTCAGAATTTGAGATACTGAGTTCACAAACAGTAGGTCTAAAATAAAGGAGGGGAAACATTAATAGCAGTTACACATGCTAATTTCAGCCAGTATTTCTTAACTTGAAGCATGGCTTTCAGACAGGGTTTGTTTTCCTTTGCTAACAGAGGTATGTAGGAGCAATAGGTGGTTGAAGCCAAAAGTCTCTAAAAACAAATTGAAGCCACCAGTGATTCAAGCTTTTTGAATGAGGCTGAGATCTTCATTTCTGAACCGGAATCTGTTCTGAGCCCGCCTCATTTCTCCCACACCTGGTTTTCTTCCCTACTCCCCTCTCTGGCAGCTTAGGGTGGATGTTACCTACTCTGTGTGTCACATTTTGTCACTTTCATATATCCTAATATTAGGTTTCTTCCACTGGCACTCCATTTTAAACCTCGCTCTATCAATCTTTGCCTGTATTTTTTCAGCTAGAGAGAACAAAGATTAGCTCTGAGAGAAGAATGGAATAGTAACACTGACAATAGAATAACTTAAATGGAGACTAACACATGCAGGCTTAGTAAAGGACAAGCTTTATTCTTTCTCTTCTTTAAAAGTAATACAAAGTTAAATCTCCAATATTAAGAGAAAATGATGTTTGGGATAATTGAAATTTAATGAAAATGAGTTATTGCTTCTTTTGGACCCAGAGTTAAGTTCAACTTAAGAGCTGAAGGAGCACTTAGACGATGCTCTCAGACACAGAGTATGATCATAGAATCATAGAGTCACAAGGTTGGAAAGAACCTGCAAGATCGTCTAGTCCAACCATCCTGCCATTACTATTGCTACCACACACCGCTAACCCATATCTCGCAGCTCCTCATCCAGAAGTCTCTTGGAACTGCCAGGGATGGTGACTCCACCACCTCCCTGGGCAGCCATTCCAGTGCCTGACCACCCTCTGAGAGAAAAAGTTTTTCCTTATGTCTAATCTAAATCTCCCCTGACACAACTTGCAGCCATTTCCTCGGGTCCTGTTTGTTGCCTGGGAAACGAGGCCAAACCCTTCTTCACCCCAACCTGCCTTCAGGAGGTTGCAGAGTGCAATGAGGTCTCCCCTGAGCCTCCTCTTCTCCAGACTGAACAATCCCAGCTCCCTCAGCCACTCCTCATAAGACTTGTGCTCCAGACCCCTCACCAATTTTGTTACCCTTCTCTGAACACGCTCCAGGGCCTCAATGTCTTTCTTGTAGTGAGGGGCCCAAAACTGAACACAGTACTCAAGGTGCAGCCTCACCAGTGCTGAGTACAGTGGGACAATTATCTCCCTGCTCCTGCTGGCCACACTATTTCTAATGCAGGCCAGGATGCCATTGGCCCTCTTGGCCACCTGGGCACATTGTGGGCTCATGTTCAGCCGAGCATCAACCAACGCCTCCAGGTCCCTTTCCTCTTCACAGTCATCCAACCACTCATCCCCAAGCCTGTAGCGCTGCACGGGGCTATCGTGCCCAAAGTGCAGCACCCGACACTTGGCCTTGTTCAACCTCATCCCATTCACCTCAGCCCAGCGATCCAGCTTATCCAGATCCCTTTGAAGGGCCTCCCTACCATCAGGCAAATCAACACCACCTCCCAGCTTGGTGTCATCTGCAAACTTACTGAGGGTACACACAATCCCCTCATCTAAGTCATTAATAAAGATATTAAACAAGATGGGTCCCAGCACTGACCCCTGGTGGACAGCACTTGAAATGGGTCGCCAGCTGGACTTAGTTCCATTAATCACAACCTGTTGGGCATGGCCCTCTAGCCAGTTCCTTACCCAAAGAAGGGTATACCTGTCCAGGCCACAGGCAGCCAGTTTCCCTAGAAGAAGCCTGTGAGAGACCACATCAAAGGCTTTGGTGAAGTCTACATTGACTGTATCAACAGCCTTTTCCCCGTCTATCGTCTGGTCACCCAGTCGTAGAAGATGAGGTTGGTCAAGCCCAATCTGCTTTTCATGAACCCGTGCTGGCTGGGCCTGATCCCCTGGATGCCACACACATGCTGTGCAATCTCGTCCAAGATGATTTGCCCCATAACTTTTGCTGGTGCTGATGTCAGACTGACAGGCCTGTAGTTCCCTGCATTCTCCTTACCTTATCTTGCAGATAGGAGTCACATCAGCAAGCCTCCAGTCCTCTGGGACCTCTCCAGATAACCAAGAGTGCTGGTAGATGGTGGAGAGCAGCTTGGCAATCACCTCCGCCAGCTCCCTCAGCACCTGAGGGTGGAACCTCTCCGGTCCCATGGATTTATGACAGTCCAGATGGAGGAGGAGCTCTCTAACCATCTCCACCTGAATCACCCAGGATGTATTCTGCATAGCATCCCAGACTTCCAGACCAGGGTGTAAAGTGCTCTGAGGATGTCTGATCTGCCTATTAAAGGCAGATGTAAAGAAAGCAATGAGGACCTCAGCCTTCACCTTATCCTCAGTGGTTACATTCCCTGCTGCATCAAGTAAAGGATGGAAATTCTCCTTGGTTCTTTTCTTACCGTTGATATATTTGTGAAAGGATTTCTTATTCCCTTTCATTGCAGTGGCCAAACTGAGCTTGAGTTGGGCTTTTGCCTTCCTAACTTCCACCCTGCATACCTTAGCAACTTCCTTGTAATCCCCCCAAGTAGCCTATCCCTTCTTCCAAAGGACATAGATCTCTTTTTCTTCTGGAGTCTCAAAAGCAATTCCTGGTTCATTCACACCAGTCTTCTTCCCCTACGGCTTGCCTTACAGCATTCAGGAACAGCCTGTTCTTGTGCCTTTAAAACTTCCATCTTGAGGAGCATCCAGGCTTCCTGGACCTTTTGCCCTTAAGGAGGGACTCCTAAGGGATATCTGCAACAAGCATCCTAAACAGGTCAGAGTCCGCCCTCTAGAAGTTCAAGATAACAGTTTTGCTACTCACCCTTCTGACATCTCCTAGAATAGAGAATTCTACAATTTCGTGGTCATTCTGCCCAAGACAGTCCCTAGCCTTTAGATCTCCTGCCAGTCCTTCTCTGTTAGTGAAGAGCAGGTCAAGCAGGGCACCACCCCTGGCAG